GCAAGGGCCAGATTCAGGTCTCGGGTAACCTGCACATCGCAGGGACAGAACTACAGGACCGTAATGCGCCCTGTCACTTACTTAGTGTCAGTCGCACGTTAGCAGAACATCCCCTCAACAAATCTAGAGCTGTCACCCGCCTCTATACGCTCACGAGCGGAGACATGCGGGAGACGCGAGATGCTCACAGATCAGAAAAGGGCCACCTCTAGGGAAAAATCAAAGACGCAGGTTCACAAAAAACGAATCCTAGAAGAAAAGCATCTACTGGAATTAATTCCAGGAGCAAAGGAGCAAAGAACCAGAGCTTCACAAGAGACTTTGCATTTCAAGACGCATCTAAAGGGAAAGCAATGTACCCACGTCTTCTGGGGAAACGCACCTGAAGGACGGACACGGGCAGCTCCCCAGACTCGCAGGGGCTGGGCAGACAGACAGACACAGACGACACAGAGCCGTCAGACAGACATTTCCAACGGCACCGCAGTCTAGAGCCCTGGTCCATTGTACAGTCCATCAGAACACTCGGTAGGAAGGCCCTGATCCCAAAATTGTCACCGTCCAGGAAACAACCAAGGACGATCACTACAGTAACCCTGCCTGGCCGTGGAGGATCACACAGTTTCAGAAGATTTAGGTTATAACGAGTCTCGGCCTCCACATCCCTAATTTTTTTCCACACTGGTTTGTTCTGTTCTCAGATTTATCCCCCTGGCGCCAACCTTAAAGGGCAATTTTTTTTTAATTGACTGGATTTGAGAAGCAGGAACATAAGAAATCGAGAGAGTTAAGCCATCAGCTATTTAGACCTAGCTTCAGTTTAGATGAAAAGTTAATGCCCTGATTTAGTGCATAACAATGGACCGCCTCAGCCCGGTCTCTGCGGAGAACTTGCAGAGTACAGACACCGTCTTGTTTTTACTCACTTCCCCCCAAAGCTCCCTGTGTTGTTAATAATGCATAAAATGGACCTGACTTTGAGATGTTACAGAGGGAAACCATCGGGTCAGCATTTCAAATCAACCTTCTCTCCCATGGCCAGAAAAGTCAGGCTAGGAGTTCCTTCCAAGTTCATATCCTGACCCCACCAAGGAAGCGTGCCAAACACCCCCACTGCCACAAATCCCCCACTGCCACAAACAGCCCGACTGCCACAGACACCCCCACTGCCACAAACACCCCCACTGCCACAGACACCCCCACTGCCACAGACACCCCCACTGCCACAGACACCCCCACTGCCACAGACACTCCCACTGCCACAGACACCCCCACTGCCACAGACACCCCGACTGCCACAAACACCCCAACTGCCACAAACACCCCGACTGCCACAAATCCCCCACTGCCACAAACAGCCCCACTGCCACAAACAGCCCGACTGCCACAAATCCCCCACTGCCACAAACAGCCCCACTGCCACAAACACCCCCAAGCCACAAACAGCCCCACTGCCACAAACAGCCCCACTGCCACAAACAGCCCGACTGCCACAAATCCCCCACTGCCACAAACAGCCCCACTGCCACAAACACCCCCACTGCCACAAACAGCCCCACTGCCAAAGCCTGGGGAGGTTTGATTTTGTGTACCTGAGCACCAGTCAAGTGAGGCTGGCGTTCAAGAAGCCACCACTGTACCAGAGACCCACCTCACTGTGGTCATTTTTTAAAAGTTCATAGTCACTTTATGGGAAAAGCAGGGTTTGCACACGTGATCTCCTCAGTGGAAGTATAACACTGAAAGGGGTTTAGATTACAAAATAGCTCACTATTTCTTTCTTTATTTTTTTTTAACTCGCTATTTCTTATACTTACCAAAAAGGTTTGACATTTTTCCATTTTTATTAAAATTTGTATTTTACATACTTTAAGTACGCTAACCAAGATCACATACGATATAAAAATAAAAATGAAAGATGAGTAACAACCCTTTTTCAGCATAAGACATTAATGTTCGTGTGAACAACGGCCAGCAAAAATGTGAAAAGATGCACGCACACGCTACTCGTTGCGTCCTCTTTGTAATACGTCTGGAAACCCTCCGAATGCCCACCAACAGGTTGAATAGTTTATATTATATCCACAAAATGGAACACCCTGCACTAAAAATGAAAGCAGACCACCTCTAGATACCACTGTGAAGTGACCTCCAGGATAAAGAAAGAAGCAAAGCTGGAAAAAGTACATAACCGGAGACAGAAACCCGTGCTGGAGTGCACCACAGAGACACACTCAGCGAAGTCCACACCGTAAGTGAATCCCAGGACAAAGAACGTGCTTTCTCCAACAACAAAAACGAGAGAGAGGGTGCTGTCTGAAGGGTTGGGTCCCTTCGAAATCATGGTTGAAACCCTGATCCTCAATGCGATGAGATTAGGAGATGCAGCCTCTGGAGGCGATTAGCTCTCCAGGGCAAAGCCCCCGCCCCTCCCACAGCCCCTCCCACAGCGAGAGGACCCGAGGGGAAGTCTGGAACCTGGAAGAGAGCCTCAGCCAAGTGGCCCGCTGGCTGGGGTCTCAGACTTCTAGCCTCCAGGGCTGTGAGGAAGGAGCTTCGGGTGTTCATAAGCCGCCCAGGCTGCGGGCTGCGGCATTTTGTTCCAGCAGCCTGAGCGAACTAAGACAGGGAGGGAGAGAAGAGGCAGAGAGAGGGAGGGGAGAGAAGGGGAGTCAAAATATTAAAAGACTTGGCGATTTGCCCTGGCTGGCGTAGCTCAGTGGATTGAGCGCGGGCTGCGAACCAAAGTGTCGCAGGCTCAATTCCCAGTCGGGGCACGTGCCTGGGTTATAGGCCATGGCCCCCAGTAACTGCACATTGATGTTTCTCTCTCTCTCTGTATCTCCCTCTCTTCCCTCTCTAAAAATTAAAAAAAAAAAAAAAGACGAGATTTTAAAGAGAGAGATACGTGTACAGCTTATCTGAATGTTGATACAGCAGCATTTTTTACATTATAAGACAACTGCCATAATCTGAACAATGACTGGATAGTCAAGGAATTTTTTAATCTTTTTTTTGAAGTGGTAGTAGTATTTTAGTTAATTTTTCAAGGATTCCATAAATACTGGTATATTTTTAAACAAAGTAAGATGATATCTGGGTAACTGATGAAGCTGATACATGGGGGTTCTTTATACAAATATATTTTATGTACGTTCGAAAATTTTTTCATAAACAAGTTGAGGAAAAAGTTTGTCCCACCTCCAACAAACTGCAAGTGTGTGTGTGAGAGAGAGAGAGAGAATCAAGAACATGTAAACGATGATGGACAGGTGTTATTATTAAGGAATTGTTGTTAACAGTTTCAGCGTGATGATATTCTGGGTATAATATTTGAAACGAAGGTTAAAGGTGAAATGACGCCTGGGGTTTGCGATAAATCAGGGCTGGGGGAGAGAGGGGGTGGGGCTAAACAAGGCTGGCCATCCAGCAACACTTGCCAGTGCCCGGCGACAGGTGTATTGCCGTGATTATACTCTTCTCGCTCCTTTCGCATATATTTAAAATTTCACAAAATAAACACTTTTGGAAAATGGGATTTTTTATTTCAGACTTTGATGTAAGGTTCCTAAAATTTCTGTACTTACCCAGCTTACCTCGTGAGGCTTTATAAACACGAAATGAAATAAAGTAAATGTAATTAGAAGGACTGCTGAAATGCTGTGTTTTATGACTGAGGCCGGCAGAACAGAAGGAAGAAAACAGTGAGCTGGAGACTTTAAAGTTCTGACTAAGTTTATCCCCACTTTTTCAGTGATGCTTTCTGTCAGTCTTCCCTCTCTCAACTGGAAGCCCCTCAAAGACAGGCACCCAGTCCCCTTTGTTTGCCATGGCGTCCTCAGGGACTAGCCCAACGCCTGTACGAAAAATAAACCCAAGCCCTGGCTGGTGTGGCTCAGTGGATTGAGCGCTGGATGGTGAAGCAAAGGGTCGTTGGTTCAACTCCCAGTCAGGGCACAGGCCTGGGTTAAGGGCCAGGTCCCCAGTAGGGGGTGCACGAGGGGCAACCACACATTGATGTTTCTCTCTCTCTCTCTCCTTTCCCCTCTCTCTAAAAGTAAATAAATAAAATCTTTAAAAAAAAAAGAAAAAAGAAACCCGAGTTCAAGTCTCTGTTCCGTAATGCTGAGCGAGGACTGTGAGTGTTCCGTTCTGTACCCACCCCCACTGCCACGATTCAATCAGTATTTGTGGAAAGACAGTTGACTTAACCTCCCCAAGCCTCAGGCCCCTTGCCTGTAACACAGAAATGATATCTCAGCAAGTTGATCTGACACACTGCGGCTAAAATGGCTTTCTTTGGCTGTTCATTCATTCGTTCCACAAATATTTGTAACTTCTAAAGTCCTACAGAAGTATGGAATGAGGGGCCACTTATGGAGCTTCTGCTGTGTGCCAGGCACTGTGACACATGCTAGGGGCAACTGCAAAGATAAATGTGGCACCGTCTTGTTTCTGCAGAAGTTTTCTGCCACGTGGATGGAAAGAGAGCACGAAGTAACAACGTGAACTGGTAAGTGACGGCTGACAGGCACGTTCCCACTGCGCAGCGTTCTCTAGCCCGAGGGGGATTCCGGACAGAAATCAGTTCACGTAACTTCCCCACACTATAAACGTCCACGCCCAAATGAAAGCCAACAATTGGAGGCATTTCTTTCACTTACTCACTGCAATAAGGCTACGGATTCTTCCCGAAGACCCCAGCCAATGCTACAAGCCTTCTGAAAGAAGCAGATAGATCCTTTTGCCCGTCTGAGTTTCTGCTGGCAAACTGGCCCATCGATCTCACAGGAACCACCGACTCCCTCCCTCCCAGAGCACGACGCCCTTCCATTTCAAAGAAGCCCCCTCGGCCGCTTGTCTTGTGTCAATCCACGGCCGAATCAGGACACAGGTTCAAGTCTTTCAGATCCAATAGCAAATACCAGACCAACTCCTCATGTACTGAAAATAAGACTTAATACCTCATGTTAGAAAAAAGTTTTTTTTAAATAACTTACCTCAAATTCTTCCCAAAAGCCTTGTTTGACTTTGTCTGTGGTCTCAGCCAGTTTGCTCAGCTCCCGGACCCGGCTCTCGATTTCGGCAGCGTTGATGCGAGTCGTGTTGAGGGGCTAATCCAGTTCAGCCATTGGCGTGAGATAAAGAAAACATTACACAAAAAGTGTTAATGCAAAAAAAAAAAAAAAAAAAAAAAGTCTAGTTTGGTGCTCACGAAGGCAAGGACAGGAAGTTCACAGCACACAAATAATTCTCACTAAACATTTTCAAATGCAGTTTCACTTTCTTTTCTGTTCTGCCAGAAAATAAATCTTTCTCCAATCCCCACACGCACTTTACTCTGCTGGTATGAATTCGATCCGTTTTTCTTTTCTTTTTTTCTTTATAAATAGACTATAATATTAGAGGGATAATGTGATTTGCCACTAAGTGATAGGAGTGAACTTGGAAATGGCAAGAACGCCTAAGTGAGTAAGTGTGAGCACCCAAGGCGCACCGACAATGCAACTCGATGCAAACTTGCTTTAAAAACTCGGAAGGCCTTTAAGGAAACGGATGGAGACAGTCGTGGAAATAACGCGGTATCTGGAATTTGCTCCCTCCCATACGCCACAGGAGGAGGGCAGCGAGTGGAGTAATGACTGAAGTCAGGTTTGATGCGGTGATCAAAACCGAAGCCGGCACCCTGGCTGGTGTGGCTCAGTGGATTGAGTGCCGGCCTGTGAACCAAAGGGTTGCCGGTTCAATCCCTGGTTAGGGCACTACCCTGGGTTATGGGCCAGGACCGCAGTGGGGGGCACGTGAGGTGCAACCACACATTGGTATTTCTCTCCCTCCCTTTCTCCCTCCCCTTCCCTCTCTCTAAAAATAAATAAATACAATCTTTAAAAAATTTTTAAAGAAAACACTGAAGCTGGGCAGTGGGCACGTGAGGTTTGTGATACTATTCTGCTCCTGTGTGTCTGGAATGTCCTATATCGGGATTTTTTCAACTTCATACGGAGACGGGCTCTAGATTTCCAACGCGCTCACCTGCTTGAGCTGCAGAACCGTGCCCAGCGTTTCCACCATGGGGTTCTTCTTGTAATGCTCCACCAGATCTGTCAGAGAGTCGAACCGTTCTCCTCCTCCAACATCGTACTTCAGTTCCTTTCAACAACAAAAAATGACATCTGTTACCTCGATGTTAAATGGCTGTTTTCCCAACTGAAGCACGGCGACAATGGCCCGCCCCCCAGCCCCGGTGACGGAAGGGTCAGACAGCTGTGGCGGCGCCCAGGACAGGACGCCACGGGGGTGATGAAGATGCAGTGGCTGGCCCACGAGGTCATCGTGAGGTGTGAGAAGCAATAAATAAATGTCCAACACCCACTAGGACACAAGAAAGTCTCTCCTTCATAAGTTATCTAAATAGTTTTAAAAAATGAAAACCAGCGTTCTTGACTCTCTACTTACACTGTAGGCTAAGCAACAATACATGAGGCTAACGAACAGAAGGCAACTAACTACTTCTCTCTGAAACACAACCAACTCTGAGGCTGCTGAGGCAGTGCTGAAGCCCAATGTGCATGTCTTTACTTTCATCTCCTGATGGAAGTAATAAATAGAGACCAGGAAATTTTTCTAACAAGACCAGAATAGGCTATTTAAGGGAAACCACAGGAGAACAGTTAAACTTAGGAAATACAAAACCCTAGAAATAATATATATGGAGACCTTTGGATACAATCTTTTGTTTAAAAATAAAACTTTTGGCCCTGGCTAGTGTGGCTCAGTGGCTTGAGCACCAGACTGCAAAGCAAAGGGTCGCTGGTTTGATCCCAGTCCAGGGCACGTGCCTGGATTGCAGGCCAGGTCCCCAGTAGGGGGCGCTCGAGAGGCGGTCACAAATTTATGTTCCCCTCCCTCTTTCTCCCTCCCTTCCCCTCTGCCTAAAAATAAATAAAATCTTTTTTTAAAATAAAACTTTCAGAATGACAAAGTAAAGACCTCTGAAAATCCACTCTTCCACAAGAGCAGCGGAGACACTGGCGAAAACTGGTATCAACTTGTTCAGAACTCTGAAAATTAAACAAGATATTGCAACCATCCAAGGAGCATTTATTCGAGAAAAAGACTGAATTTTGGTAAGGAGAGCAAACTGTGGCATTTTTCTTTATTGATTAGAGAGAAAGAGAGAGAGAGAGAGAGAAACGGCACTTGATCTTTCGCCAGAGCCAAGTTCAAACGCGGCCTTACCTGACAGCGGATCATGACGTGGGTCACCTTGGACTTGCCGTCAGTGCTCTCCCCCTTGTCGTCCCCAGTCCGGACGGAGAGGACAAAATCTCCAGGGTGGCTCTGGCTCTCTCGGACCAGAAAGCTGCCGTGCTTTCCTTTCTCGGTTAGCAGCTTCTCCGCTTCTTTGCCAGAGAGGTGGCCGTGAAACCATCTACATTTTTAAAAATGAAAATAAATGGGGTTCTGCCGTGGGGACCTCAACACTCGTCACAAAACTACCCTATCCAGTCAGCTCTTCTAAACCCAATTAAAAAACAAATACGTTCCTCAAGAGATCAGGGAAGAGCGTGGTAAGCCAGAACTTGCAGCCCAGGCAGGCAGGAAGAATGACAAAGATGTCAAGAATGACCATGAAACTTCTTAAATGATCCCCTAGTCATTTGGAGACTGATGTCCTCCATCTTTCCTATTTCCTTTTACACCTCCCACCTTTTGAAAATATAATCTGTTAGCTCTCCATGCCCAACATGAAAAGGACCAACTATTAATCACAGCCATCTAAAGGGATTATAATAGGAAGTTATGGTAAAGAAGGAGAATGAGTTGGAAGTTTGCTCTGGCATGTGAACAGTATGCAGAAAAAGGTCTTCACTATAAATTAATTCAAACGTTTTAAATTTTTCCGTATTTCCAACAGCCTCCAAGTCTATCAACATCTTTGGCCTGTATGCTGGGTTATCGTTTCAAACTTTAATGCATGTACGACTTAGGGCAGGGGTGAGGGATTTTGCTAAAAAATGTGAATTCCCATTGCTCACAAGCAAAGACACCAATACGCTACTGAATGGGGCCCAGCAATCTGCATTTGTGACCAGAATGCCAGAGCCCCGACAAAGGTCATCTGAGGACAGACTTTGCAATATTTTAGAAAAATCTTAACATAGTCATGTTAATAAAGTGGCTTTTTCCCTCACGATCTTGGTGAGAAAACAAGTATCATCATGGCAGATGGTGCTGATGGCTCATCACTAAAGGGATATTCTTCGGGTTGTTTTTCATCCGCCCTCAACTAAACAGAGCATAATTTAGAAATAAATAGCAGAGGGTTGGCGGACGGCCTTTCGCTTGAAGCCACTGGGGTCGCTGAAGAAAGAAATCATCAGCACATAATAGCACGCACGTGGAGCTGAAGAAAGCTACCTGAAGACACAAAATACACAAACCTGATTAAGAGACCCTGCATTTGTGCTGAGTCAGACTGGGAACGCAGAAAGCCAATATAATCAATACAAATTAAGTTAGGCCCCGGCTTACATCGGCTGGGTCCCAGCACAGCGGGGCGGGGGTGGGGGGTGGGGGGTGGGGGGTGGGCGCTGCAAGAATGCAGCTCCTGCCAAGGAAGGTCACCCCCACACACTTCTGAGTGTAACAGAAAGGAGCTGCTGAAAAATTGGACCCTCGGCTTTTCCACTTCTGAGCTTAAACTGACATCTGTTGGCGGCACTGCTGAATAACTGGGTCGGGAGCGACCGCCAGTGACTGCTGGGACTTCTGTGTCGCCATTTTATTTCTCTGCCACGTGCAGCTCTCCGGCGTGACCAGCCGAGGTTCACCGATCTTAAAACGACCGCACCGTCCTAAGAACACGCAGCAACAGTCTGAGGCTCCTACAATGAGTGTAAATAACACTGACTGGAGCTTCTGCAAGAAAAGGGCACTCTGAGGACAATCTGATCCCATTATTGCCACTTGAATAAAACTTCGAAGATGGCAGCTTGGGGTGGAAAAGGCGAAGGGATTCAGATGTACAAACCGGCAGTTACGAATCAGTCCCAGGGATGCAGAGTGCAGCGCAGGGAATACAGCTGACAGTGCTGTAATTACTTTATGCGGTGCCGGGTGCGTGGAGACTCAGCGAGGGGATCGCTCGCTTCGAGAGTCACATAAACGTCTAGCCACTACGCTGCACACCTGAAACTAATATAATACTGAAGGCTAACTGTACTTGAAATTTTTTTTTTTAATTTCTGGAAAACAGATTGCGGCCTGAGAAACATGTACAAGCCAACCCCTACCCCCTTCCACCCCCTCCCGCCCCTCCCCCCCCTTCCCGGAAAACACACTCGTGTCTCTCCTGTGGCACAGGAGAGACCCAGAGACTCTGCAGTTACTAAGGGGTCACTGACCTTTCAGAGGTAGGGTCTGCACAGTTCAGAGGATATTTGAGTTCAATAACATCTCCGTTCTTCTCCTTGAGTTGCCCGTGGTGCTCCATGTAGTACTGAACCAGTTCAGCCAGAGTGGCGAACTTCTCTCCTCCGTACAGGTCGTAGTAGTCCCCAGTGTTCTGGATCTTGATGTGGGTGACAGCCCCATTCCTTCTAAAATAGCCCATCAGAAAGGGGAGGGGACCAAGAGAGCGTTACACCAGTAAGAACGGACTTCGAGTCCCTTATCAGATTCCACCCCAAGGCCTGCATGAGTTTGTGCTTCCCTGTCGGAACAGCGGCCAGTGAGGTAATCGCCCAGCCCAACATTCCAACGCAAAGGGCCCCGCCTGTCAGCTTCTTTCCCCTGTACGACTTCTACTTCCAAAGTCTGAACTATCGAATTGTGTATTTTAAGTGACAACAATTTTCCTCAGCATTAATCAAGATACATATAATTAAAATGTAAACACACATCTACCATGTGATCCAGGAAATCCACTCCTGAGTATCCTGCCCAAAAGAAATGAAACTGTGTGGCTACCAAATGGCTTATCTGAGAATATTCATTGCATACTTACTTATGAAAGAAACAAACTGAAAACTCAAATGCTCATCACCAAAATGGATAAACAAGTAGCTCCATACTCATATCATTGAATAATACTGCAGAGCGATAAGCACCAAAAACGATACACATGCAAGGAACAGACAAATCACCAAAACATTATAAAAGAAAGAAGCCAGACACAAAAGAATGAATACTGTATGACTTCATTTACATGAAGTTATAAAATAAGCAAAACCAGCCTACGGGGATAGAAACGAGAGGAGGGGTGGCCTCTTTGAGAGAGGGAGGTGAGGAAGGGGCACCGAGGGACTCTTTCTAGGGTGACGGAAAGCCTCTCTGTTTGGAAAGGGGGTGCTGGTTACACGAATAGACGCGCTTATCAAAAATTCACCTCCCTGTACACTTGAGATACTCTATGCAATCGTATCTCAAAAATCATTTTAAAGACATATAATCGACAGTCTCCAGCACGAGGGGGCTGACGTGTCATCTCAGGGAGTTGCCATAACCCGGGCCCGAAGTTTCTCTCACCGGGTGTTTTAGTTTGCCCAGGCAGTCTACGGTTTTCTGAGCTGCTAAGGACATCTCGAGCACACCCATCCTCGCCTAGGCGGCCCCTTCTTTACTTTTAGTCTCACCCGGTAGCATTATTGGTGAAGCCTCTGGAAAATAAAAACACTCTTCTCCCAAAGAAAAAGGAAAATGGGAACTAAGGAAAAGAAGAAAATTTGCCGCACGATGTTACTAAAAATATCTACTTCTACTTTTTGGTGACTACTTTTCCCAATGGGTAAAAAAGGCATTTCAGGTCGCCCTCCTCCAGCTACACCTGACGTCATGTTAACACCTGAGCTTTGGACTCCCAGCCTTTAACTAACGGCACCACCCAAGCCATTCCCGCGAGGACCAGACCCGGGCCCAGCGACGCAGGGGGGCCTGGGAGACACGGCGCGGCCCGAAAGCAGCACAAGGCAGAGTGACGTGCCGAGCGTGCACCACCACGGAACTGTGCAAACACACGCTGCGTGCTAAATGCTGCTCACGATACGGACACACACAGACTGTATATGCCTGTTACAAATATTATTTACACGTAATACTATAAAAATGTATGTCCTTTCCTACGAACTTTCCTACATCCTTAGTGGGATATGTTCTAAGGCCAAAAAGACCCCCAAGGAGCCATGAACTTCACTTAAAGGGTTTGAAATCAGCAGCGACGGAGACACGGTCTTTCTGATTCTGGTTTTGTGCCATGGGGTGTGCAAATGAGGTCAGGTACCGATGCCTCGGTGGACCAGGGTCCCCACTCCAGAAGGGGAGCACAGACATGGAACGGGAAAAGGGGAGGGGCTGGGCTGACCTGGAACTACCAGTACGAACACTTGGTTTTAAATATGTAAATATTTATTTCCCAACTCCGTCTACTCTAAGGGCCCACAGACAATGACCCCCCAGGAGCATAAACACCAACAGATGGAGCAAACATCTTATGTGCTTCCTGATGGGAAGTAATAGGATGGCTTCGAAAGCCTTCATTAAAATAATAAGGAAAACTTGAGTATGGACTGTATACGAGATAATATTAGTGAATCAACGTTTACATTTCTCATATACAATAGTGCATTCTTAGGATATGCACACTTAAGTATTTAGAGGTAAAAATCAATGGCCTGATACGTACACACTTATTTTCAAAAAGTTTCGGGGGGGGGGTGCGGGGAAAGGTATGTAATACACACAAACGCACACTCATAGAGAAAGAGCAAATATGGCAACATGTTAACAGGTAAAGAGAAAGTGGTTGTTCACTGCTTCACCTATGAACTTTCCTACAGGTCTGAAATTTCTCACAATAAAAAGTGGCGGGGAAAAGCCCCCAGTCATTCTGGAGTCTTGGGTCTGCCGCTTCCTAGCCGTGAGACTAGCTTACCGGCTTAACCTCTGGGCCTCAGCTTACTCGCCTGCAAGGCAAAGGTAACAGTGGTGCTTACTCACAGGTTGCTGGGGAAAATTACATGAAATGATGAGAGGACAGTGCTTAGCCCAACAGCCTGGGATATGTCAAGTCCTCAGTAACGTTTGCTATCATCATCCTCATCCTCATCATTACATGATCTCTATGCAAACTCTTACAGATCAAATGTCACTTTGGGTCAGATGTCTGTGCCGGGACAAGCCCAGAAGACTTATGAAGGCTTCCACTCATTCGTATCATATCGTAAAAGGGAAGCAAAAGCCAATGACAAAGGTTCCTTAAGAAACTAATCTACACCACAAAGGGGTTTCCCAAGTCCCAAAGGAATCCTAAATGAATCCTCAAGAGCACATCTTTATTTTTAAAATAATAATAAAAGCAAATTCATAAAGTGTTTCAGTTCTAACTCCTGCAGTGAGCTCCAGTTGGGAGAATAAGTATTTAAGAGAAAGTCAATTTCTACAAAAATTCTCCTACACCTACTCAAAGAGACATGTAACCGGATGCTGGCCATGCTGTTCAAAAAAAAAAAAAAAAATGTTAAACAAACTGAAAACAACCCAACGCCCAACAATAAGGGGCTGGAAAAACTGTGATGCGTTCACACCATTCAAAGATTAGAGAGCCATCAAAATGAACAGTTACACCTGTGGGTACTGGCCTAGCACTTCAAAGTTCTTAAAAGGAAGTTGCAGAATAATGCATACATTATGAAGAAGCCACGGATGTGAATTCTAAACACACACACTGGCGTGGCACCGTTCACACACAGGACAAACGCAGTTCGAGTACAAAAGCACGGTCAGGAAGGGCACCAGCCAACCTCTGCGCGCGGTTTCCTCTGGGGAGGGGGGGGGATTGGGACTGGGCAGGGGAACACACGGGACCACAACTTCCTCAGTGACGTTTTATTTCTTAAAAAAAACACACACACACACAAATGAGCTGGAGAAACTCTCCAGGAGTATTTTCCCCACTCGGAGGGAGCCCGACTCAGGATGAGTGCACTCAGGCAGGGGAGGCTTAGGGGCTGTTTGTGGTCGGCTCCAGCTCACCCTCAGCGGTCGGTCTCTGGGGGGACAAGAAATGCCCACCTCCAACCAACCCCCTCCTGCTGAATTCGCCGGCCTCTCACTCCCAGGGGGGGCTGTGCCTCACACACACACTTGAGCCCCACACACACACACACTTGACCCAGGTCTGGCCTGTGGGCCAGGCGTCACCACAGAGCGGCAGGCAGGCCTCCCAACCCCGGGCGAGGGCAGCAAGGGGTCTGTGTGTGTGGTTTGTTCGTTGTGTGTCCTTTACTGAGTTTACTGCGATGACACTGGTTGACAAAACCGTACCGGTTTCGAGAGCGGTTTGCGCATTTCCTCCCTGGAAAACACTCCCGGGAGTCTTTCTCTTCCCACTTACCTAACGGAAAGCGTGAAGTCTCCAGGGTTACTTTTACTGGGCCTTGCCAAAAAACTGCCGTCAACTCCTCTTGTCAACAGTAGGTTTTCGGCCTCCACGCCAGTGATATTTGGATGAAACCATCTTGAGAGAGAGAGGGAGGGAGACAGAGAAATGAACAATAAAGGGTTGTCAGCACCACCTGCCACACTATCACAGCTGAAACTGCCTGAGTAGGGCGGCTGATAAAAATGCAAATCAAACCTTCCCTGGCCCTTCCCCCTCTTCTCCTCAGTCACTCCTCCCTCCTCGCCTTCCCCCTGGTGGGGGCCAGGGGTCCTGCTAGCACGGCAGGTAGGGCTGGGCGCTTGGGTATCAAGCCAGTCACGTGGCAGACCAGCCCAAAATGGTAGTCCACATGATCAGGAGACTGAACATATGGAGTGGGAGTAAACGAGCATGTAAGTAAATAAATAAACTACTTAATAAATAAGTAAACGCAGTGAAGATCATGGGAGCCAGGCTTCTCGCTGTTGGAGAGAGAGAGACAACGACGGAAACAGAGAGAGCCAGAATAAATCCTGTGCTGTTAGCCTGGAGTTGAAGGGATCAGTGCCAAGTCTAGAATTTCATATATATATATGGAGACAGATATGTAGATACAGAAATACAGAGGTATGTCTGTGTGTGTGTGTATGTATACACCCAACATACATGCGTACTGTACTAGCTCCTTCTTCCGGAAGAGCCTGGGAGCAATGACACCCCGGTAGCCATCAGCACGCCCAGCACGCGTATCTTGGTTCCTAAACACCGTTCTCCAATAAGAGGAACTGGGCTCCTCGGAGAAACGGGGTTCCAGGGCTGGGGCAGTGAAAGCGAGGTGAGCCTGCAACACCTTATCGTGCCCCAGCGAGAAAGGGCTCCGATGGGGGCGTGCCAAAATGATGACATGGGAGCAGGCTCGAAGGTCCTCCCGCCGGCAAGTCGGAGACAATCTGTACCTCAAAATAATTCATGGCGTTAACAGATTATAACTCACTGAATAAAATAGGAAACCTAGAGTCCACCCAGGCATTCATTTTTAAAAACTAATTAAGGTTCATCAGAAAATGTACCAGGGAATGAGCACATGATCCAGAGACTCCACTTCTGGGTCTATACCCCCAAGAGCTGAACGCAGGGGCTCAAATACAGACTTGCACACTCACGGTTACAGCGGCGTTACTGGTAACAGCTAAAAGGCAGGAGCCAGCCAAGTGTCCACTGACAGGTGAGCGAGGGAACAGAATGCGACTGTGCACAGCAGTGGGGTCTCACTCAGCCTCAAGAAGGAAGGAGATTCTGTCACACGCTGCGACATGCATGAGCCTGCAGGCATTATGCGAAGTGAAATACGCCAGTCACCAAAGGACAAGCACCCTGTGATTCCGCTTCACACGAGGTACCCGGAGCAGTCAACGCCCCGAGACAGAAGATGGGATAGCGGTTGCCAGAGGGTGGGGGTTGCCAGGGGGTGGGGGGAACTGGGGGTTAGCATTTAATGGAGACAGAGCTTCAGTTTGGGAAGATGAGGCAGTTAAGGAGACAGGTGGTGGTGATGGTCGCGCAACAGCGTGGATGTACTGCAGACTATGAACTGCAATCCCCACAAAATGCTTACTGATTACATGTTAATTAAGAAGTGAACGAGCCCCGGTTGGCAGGTGTGGCACAGTGGGTTGAGTATCGGCCTGCAATCCAAAGGGTTGCCAGTTCAATTCCCAGTCAGGGCACACGCCTGGGTTGCAGGCCAGGTGCCCAGTTGGGGGTGTACAAGGGGCAACCGATCAATGTTTCCCTTCCACTCTTACGAGTAAAATGCACTAATAAACTCCAGAGCCGAGATTTTGATATATGCTATCTTCATCAACTGGTAAAATTTGCCATCACCAGTCACGACAGCATGCGCCTCCTGACACCACGCGCTGAGAACACAGTGTCATTTCGGTGACATTCCTGCCAAAAACGCATTACCTAACCTAACTATGAGGAACACCGCACAAACCCTGAGTGAGTGACATTCTGCTAACCGGCACTGCTCTTTGAAAATGTGAAAACTGTGGAAGAAGGCGGGGGTGTCAAACAACCACCCAGATTACAGGCCAGTAACGACACACAAATATTGAAACACAAGGTGCGGTTCCTTCCGGACCACATCACGGAGCAGAGGGAAGGGAGACAAACAGAGAGGAAGGGTTTGTTGTTGTTTGTTGTGTCTCTTGCTCTAAAGGACACTACAGAAACAGTTTGGAAGGGGGATAGGAATTCGGTGAGAGCACTGTGATCATACAGATTTCCCTGGTTTTGATGAGTGTCCTGGGACTATGCGTGCGAGTGTCCTTGTTGTTAGGACAGACGCACGGAAGAATGTTGCAGCGATGACGCATTAAGGCTGCAACTGACTCTCAAATAGTTCGGAAGGCACCCACGTCAAAAAAAAAATTCCTCTCTGGTTCCCAGCAGGGATTCCTTCCGGGGCTCCAAAAGTCATCAAGATTTGCGGTAACAGGAATAGTTTCCGCAGTCCAGTTATCCTGGGCCTTTACCGGCTGATTCAATGCCTCCAGGAACATAAGTCAACATTACAGGTAGAGTCCTAGTACTGACAATCCAATGAACTCTGAAGAGACTGCTCAGTAAATATCAGCCCGACTACAGTGTCTTACGACAGCGAAGGCGAGAGTGCAGGGGTGAACGGCTGCCCTAAATCGTGCGTTAAGGACATGAGGGTCCCACAGACTTAGGTGCATGTCTGAACTCGACCACTTACTGGCTCTGTGACCTGGGCGAGTTCTTCTCACCTGACTCCTCGTCTGCCAAGTGGAAATGACCGTTTTTAGGTTCACTGTAAGAATGCAGTGAGAATCCATACGCTAGAACATTATTTAGCCATTTTAAAAGGAATGAAGTAATGATAAATGCTACGATTTGGATGAACCTCGAAATCATGCTACGTAAAAGAAGCCAGAGACCAGAGGTCACATGTTACGTGATTCCACTGACGTGAAATGTCCAGAAAGAGCAAGTCCACAGAGACAGGAAGTAGATTAGTGCTTGCTTGGCAGGAGGAGTCTGGGGCACGGGGTATTAAGTCCAGAGTCTCTTTTATGGAGAAAAAAAACACACCGTACAATTGTAGTGATCGCCACAGTATGTGAATATACTAAAAACCACCAACCTGCATGTTAAATGAATGAGCTGTATAGTATGTGAATTATATCTCATGAAAGTGGTTTTTAAAAAAAGAATAAAGTGGGCCCTGGCTGGGTGGCTCCACTGATTGGAGCATCATCCCGTGCACCAAAACGCTGCAGGTTCGATTCCCGGTCAGGGCACATACCTAGGTGGTAGGTTCAATCCCCACTTGGGGTGCATATAGGAGGCACTGATTGATGTTTCTCTGTCTCTTTCAAATCAATGAATATGACCTCAGTGAAGATTTTTTTATATATACATACACACACACACACACACACTACCTTGTGGTGATACAATACAAAGAACACAACACATAATTATAAAATATGACACCAAACCTATCAGCCATGACAATAATTGTGAGTTTGTTTTCTATGAAAAAAAAATCGACCATCCATTATGAAGATCAACGCTATGATTATTTACGTACCAAGTAACATAGCAATCAGCTTCACGAAGCAAAAACTATACCCTGTTCATAATTCTAACAAGATTCTTATTTTAAAATTAGAATGGTCATACTGTAGTATTTAAAAAAAAAACAAAAAACCTTACACCTACAATTACTGGGTTAACGAAGTGAATAAACGGAAAATTACTTTCATCCCTGTTCCACGGAAGGGAACGCGCGGGGGCGCTCTCCCAGCACGCACTGCCAGTCAGCGGTCATTGAACGGACCGCTGCGGGCTCGGCGCCCCTTTAGCTGCCCCCACTGGCCATCCGCCCGGTCTGCTCCCTTGCTGCCGCCACTGTCGTCTCTTCCTTCTTTTCAAACAACGGTTCTCAAAGGATTCTCCGGTTTTTCCTCGCCCTCCCCACCGTGATGGCGGCCTCAAGCGCAGTGTTCACGGCTTCCACTGAGATCGTTTTATTCTATGTTATCCTGATTTTCTTTCTTTCCGTTTGTTATATGTTTATTGATTTTAGAGAGAGAGAGGAAAGAAACAGAAACATCGATGTGAGAGAGAAACATCGATTGGCTGCCTCCCGTACACACCCTGACCCGATACTGAACCCCGCAACCTACGCTTGTGCCCTGACCGGGAATCGAACTGGCGATTTTTGGTTTGCAGGACGACACCCAACCCACTGAGCCACAGTGATCAGGGCTGAAGAGCTTTCTATATCAATACCATCTTTTTAATAGTTACATAATATTTATTCCATTGTATGAATACATCATCTGTAATTTAATCCTCATTCTAAGATACTGATATTATTTCCAGGCTTTTGTTATTTATAAATAGTACAGCAGAACATGCCCCTTACAATCATCTTTACACACTTTACAAGTATGTTTATAAATTAAATTTTTAGAAATAAATTGCTTTGTCAAGACTTTTTTTACTGACAAATTTTCCAAACTGCACTTAAAAGAAGACACTAGTTTCAACTTCCACAAACTGGGTGTGAAAGTCCCTGCTCTCTCTCACTTTTGCCAGTACTACACATATTACCAAACCTTTTCATCTCTGTCTGCTCTGCTTCACGGAAAATGGTCCCATTCTAGTTTGCATTTCTATGTGAAACTAAGCACTTTTTCGTGTTTCCAGCCCACTTTATTTCCCCCCTTTTCTGTGAGTGGCCCATTTGGCATTGCTTGTTTTCTACTGGATTTTTTTTTTTTCGTACAGATTTACAGGAGCTTTTGATATAACCAGAAAAGGATGTTTCATTATGAGCGTGGCAAGCACCTGTCTCAGGTTCACCCCTTGTGCGCTCGCTCCGCACCGGGACTCGCCTGGGCACGCCGGCTCCTAGCAGCCTTCTCCCTGCCGGCTCCCGCTTGCTTCCCGGCTCTGCTCAGAGAGGCCGAGCCCTCGGCACCGCTCTGAGACGGAGCCAGTCAACACTCGCACAGCGCCTAGCACAGAACCAGCCCGTCCGATTTCACCTTAGCCAC